TAATATAATATATATATTATATTATATTATATTTCTATTAGAAAAGGGTGTTTTGGGGTGACTCCAGGTTTGAGAATGAATGCCCCAACGGTACCGGTTGATCCTCACTTTTACGATGATGAGATTGACCGCATGATTAAAGCATTACACCGCAAACAGAAACAACAAACTGTACAATCTATGCGAAAGCGAAATAATAATAATAATCCTAATAATAATAATAATAATAATAACAGTAACATGGGATTAGAGGGAAATAAATCTTGTAAACGTTATTCTCCAGTCAGACTCTTTACATCCAGTTTAGAGCGGAAGAAGGGGCAGGAAGAGAAGCACAAACTACTCGAGAAGCCTCTCATCATGAATTCTCCATCTATACAAGAGAAATCACAAGAAGAAGAAGAAAAAGAAACGAACCTTATCATAAAAAGAGAAGATACGCTTACACACTCCCAACGACAATCTGTAGATCTATTTAATCATTTAAATAGGGAGAATGAAACTACTATACATTCTCTACAACGTGAGTTACGACAGGCACGATATGAAAATATTCATATGCGAGAAGAAATGTGCCAAACACTTGATATCATTAGAAAATGTCTGGATCGTCTTCTTATTGGCAATCATCATTTAAACCAACATAACCCTATTATAAAAGAAGAAGAAGAAGAACAATATAAAGAAGATAAAGAAGATATATATGGAAGTGTGAGTGTTGATTTACCGACGATAAGTGTTCGGGAATTAACTCAAATAAATGATATATTTCTCTCTAGTGAAGAAACAGAAGTGGCGCAATGTTTAAAAGATCTTATTATCTCATGTGAGAAACGTTATAGTGATATGCGGCAGAGGTATGATGTGAATACTGCCCCACCCCTCTGATAAGCATTGAGGTTTTGGAATACACAGAGATCCAATAATAATAATAATAGTAATAATAATAATAATAGTAATAATAATAATAAGGAATCTCTGAAGTAATCGAATGAAATGGGAAATGAGAAATTGCGTAGAGCGTATTCATATGTGTACGTATGTTTGTTTGTTTGTTTTTTATATATATTTCTCTCAAACCATTTGTTATTAACGGTTAGCGATCACACCTTTCTTTGTATTTATTTTATTTTTCTTCTTGTGACTATTCATATCGTTAATTATTATTATTATTTTTCTAGTATTACTATTATTAAAAGTGAAGGAGTTATTTTACTGTTTATTTCTTTTTTTTTTATTATTGTTTTTTTTTTTTTTTTCTTCCATATTTAAAAACTCTATTAATGAGTTTCATTTATTATTCTCTTTCTTTTACTTTTTCTTGTGGTCCTATTTTATTTCATGGTCTACCGGCTTTTTTTTTTGTCAACTTTTATTAGACCACAACACCCTATTGCTATTCTCCACTCCCCTATTAATACTATTATCTACCATTATAGCTATTGATCTATCCATATATATATATATATATATATATATATATATATATATATATATATATATATATCCGTATATATATAGTGAGATAGAGAGTTAAATAAATAGATAAATAAATAAATAAAATTAGCTCTAATGTTACCCGCACCTGTAGTAGGCGGCACAGGCACGATTCCCCATGATGATCCAAGCGGATCTACACAACTCTTATTACTGCAGGATTATCCAGAGCCATTAACGGCAGAACAACGCAGTGCGCTACGCCGCCGAACAGCCGCATTTGTGCGCCGCTATCAAACCGTGCGGAAAGGGGCTCGTATCATTGAACGGGGCTACACAAGTCTAAAATCACTACTCGCACGATTGGAGGAGGATCGGGCACGACTGCAGACTTCACTGGATCGTTTAACTAATCCGGAAATCACAACAGAAACTAATACTACTACTATTACTACTACGACTGATAATAATAATAATAATAATAATAATAATAATAATAATAATAATAATAATAGTGGTAATACAGAAGTAAAGACAAAGACACCGGCGGGGAGACGACCGGGTGGTCTGCGGCTGTCAGCAATGTTTGCCAATATGCACAGTGTTCTCAGTGAGGCTAAGCGAGAACAACAACAGTTGCGATCTAATATTACATTGGAGCGAGAACGTATAGGAAAGACCACACAACTTAAAATAATAGAGGACGATATCGCCCAGCAACTCCAACATTTAGATTGTCTCACAGATAAATATCTTAAGAGTAAAACTCTTTTAAAATCTGAAGAAGAAAGTGTATTGGAGGCATTACGATTATATGATGAAATGCAACAAATGGAAACCACATACGCCTCCCGTTTCTTTCTTCGTGCTTCTGGTTCTCATGAAAGTAATGAAGAAGAAGATGCGGCATGTTATGATATCTTCTTTACACCAGCAAAGTATACAGATGAAGTACAGGAAATGATACGTGAACAGGTGGAAGAAGTATTAGATGCGTATCTTATGTATAGACGCCGAGTAGATCCGGTGTTGGATGTACTCGCAGAGGAACGCCGTACACGAGAGGCACGACGAGCCGATCAATTACTACAATTAATAGGTGTAGATACTGGGAATACTGCAGTCACCGCAGCGGCGACGGGTAATAATAATATGGATTTTCTCCCACAATTAACACTCGCAACAACAGGCAGCAGTGGAACTGGTCTTGTTCATAAAAGAACGACTATTAATAATAATGTTAATAGTAGTGATGGTGTTGGGATGTTATCTTCTGGTTTGGGAAATAGAATGAGTGCTACTATGGCTGGTCAGATCAGTGATGTGGAGGATGATAACTTTGACGGTGATGATGATATGGGTGTTGGTGTTGGCGATGATAATAATTTGGGAGGTGAAATGCGAGAAAAGAGACAACGTGATCAGATTCAATCAGCACTTGCGGCTCTGGATGATTTTGAAGAGCTTTACTAAAAAGAAAAGGAAAAGAAGGAAAAGAAAAGAGAGGGGTGCTGATGATGATGATGATGATGAGTGGGAAGCCTCTGAATACAGAAAGAATATTTTTTTTACTTCCTTGTGTATAAGTGTATATGTTTTATTATTATTATTATTATTATTATTATTATTATTATTATTATTATTATTATTATTATTATTATTATTATTATTATTATTATTATTATTATTATTATTATTATTATTATTCAATTTCCTTTCTTTTCTTTCTTTATTATTATTATTTTAGTACTAGTCGTGTATAATCTACTAAAGATATATTTAGTGATCTCTTTCTCTCTCTCTCTCTCTCTCTATTTGTGTATGGTGAGATCTGATGATCCCGCGCTGCACACCGTATGAGAACAGCCCGCCACTCCGCCCGCACATTTTGACGGTTGCAACGCCGGGCATCACCGCACCGCGAGCGCAGATCTCACGATACACCGCCACTGACGGCGTGGACGTTCTCGAGAATACATGCAGTTGGCATCCACCAAGAAATGATAGTATCTATCACAATAATAATAATAATAATAATAATAATAATAATAATAATGATAAGAAGAAAAAGAAGCATTGTAGTTGGTGTTGGAATTGGAGGAATAGCCATAGTAGAAGGTATGCTGCTGTGGAGGATGAGAATGTGGAGTTAACAGCAGAAGAAGATCCACCACTTTTATATCATGCCACTTGCAAAATAGCACCTCGATTATTACATAATGTTGTTGCCTCTCCAGAAATGGATGAGATGGTATATAATAAGTGTAGTTTAAATCCTATTCATTGGTTATTAATGTTAAAGGAGTTTATTACTGCCTGTGCCTTCTCTATACGTCCTAAGAAATTTATGTACTCTTATGTGTGTAAAACAAATTTGGCAGGAGAACGAGATCAGGCGGTTTGTAAACGTGAAATAAGAAGAGCTATTCGTATAATGAAACAACGTGAAAGAGAAGATTTACATATTAATACTATAAATAGTATAAACAATAGTAATCCTCATCATCATCATCATCATATTGATAGTGATAGTAATAGAGATAGTCCAAATTCTCAATCATCACCAGAGCGACCTCTTCGTCTTCGTTTAGTACTTTTTGGTTGTAGTCGTGGGGCCACAACAACTTTCTATACATCTATGAAACTTCCATTAGAACTTGCCTCTTATGTTTCTCTTGTAGTCCTTGAAGCCCCATTTGATACTTTACATGATGTTATTGATTCTTCTTGTTGGTTTCCACGATTTACATTATGGTTTTTTCGTACCTTTTGTGAATATAATGGTAATGAACCATATTCCTTTGATCCTCAACAGGTATACTTGCGGTGTCCAATAGCGTTTGTGTTGTCTGTGAAAGACACTCGTGTACCAAATAAACTTACATATCGATTGATAGAAACAGTGAAGAGAGAGTGTCCTCAGATTCCTGCAGTGGAAGTACTGGAGTTAAAACACAGTCGTCATCCATTAATGGCAGTTGGAAATCGTCAGGATCAAGATGCGTATGTTGCCTTTATGGAACGTTTGTATGATACCTACTGTAGTTGAGCTGATTCTTTTTTTTTTTTTTTTAGTTGTTATTTTATTTTATTTATTTAATTGTTCACATAAGAAAAAGAAGAAAAACGAAGTACAATCAAAAATTTTACAGAAATAAATAAATACATAATGTACGAGGTTTTGTTCTACTTTATTATTCTTCTCTCCATGAGTATATTATATATATATATATATATATATATATATATATAATCTGTTGTATTTGTGTTGAAAAGAGTCAAAAGATTATCTTTGCAGAGAGGGACTAGTGATATCTCACTCTTGCTTGTTGTTGCCTTTTTTTTCCTTATGCTTTATTTATTTATTTTTTCTTTCCTTCTTTTGGAGGTTTTTCATTTCCCAATAATGTTCATTTTTTTTTTTTTTTT